TCATTTCATTGATAATCAGCAAAATATTTACATCTTATTTGATTTATGGGCATATATCCCAACAATCTCCCACTTGCCCTAAAGCAAATGAGGCATGTCTCTAAGTCCCATATTTTCAAGATGTTTCTCAAAACTCCCAGCTGGTAATGTTTTGGTAAATGGATCAGCTATGTTGTTCGCGGATGCGATCTTTTCAACTGAAACGTCTCCTCTAGAAACAATCTCTCTGACCAGGTGGAATTTTTGTTCTATATGCTTTCCTTTGCGGTGGTTCCTGGGCTCCTTGGCATTGGCCACTACTCCACTGTTGTCACAATAGAGTATGATAGGCTCATGCATATTTGGAACAACTTCCAATTCCTTCAGAAATTCACGAAGCCAGACAGCTTCCTTAGCTGCTTCACAAGCTGCTACATACTCAGCCTCCATGGTTGAGTCAGCAATACAAGATTGCTTGATACTCCTCCATATAATGGCTCGATTTCCTAAAGTGAACATTGCCCCTGAGGTGGACTTGCTAGAGTCCCTATCCGACTGAAAATCAGAATCAGTATATCCAATAGGAATCAAATCCCTACCAGAGTATACAAGCATATGGTTTCTCGTCCTCCTCAAATATTTGAGTATGTGTTTGACTGCAACCCAATGATCTAATCCTGGGTTTGACTAGTATCTGCTAACCAACCTTACTGCATAGCATATGTCAGGTCTAGTACATAGCATTGCATACATCAGGCTACCAACTATCGATGCATAGGGAACTCGTCTCATATCCTATTCTTCTTGAGGTGTCTTTGGACACTGCTCCTTGGAGAGATAAACTCCATATCGAAAAGGCAAATTTCCTTTCTTGGAGTTTTGCATCGAAAACCTGACAAGCACCTTGTCAATATACGATGCCTGAGACAATGCCAAAAGTCTATTCTTGAGATCCCGGATAATTTGGATCCCAAGAATATAGTTGGCTTATCCTAAATCCTTCATTTGGAATTGGCTGGCTAGCCAGTTCTTTACTTTGCATAACGATTCTACATCATTCCCAATAAGCAGAATGTCATCTACGTAAAGAACCAAGAAGACCACTTTATCTCCTTGAATTTGTTTGTAGACACAAGGTTCACCAAGATTTTGTTCAAAGCCATAAGATTTTATAGCTTCGTTAAATCTGATGTTCCAAGATCTAGAAGCTTGCTTTAGTCCATAAATGGACCTCTGCAATTTGCAGACTTTCTGCTCTTGGCCTTCTACCATGAAACCCTCTGGTTGGACCATATGAATGGTCTCTTCAAGACAGCCGTTCAGAAACGCCGTCTTGACATCCATTTGCCATATCTCATAGTCATAATGAGCAGCAATAGATAAGAGTATGCGGATGGATTTTAGAATGGCTACAGGGGAAAAAGTATCCTCATAGTCTACTCCTTCCTTTTAGGTAAAACCCTTTACAACCAATCTTGCTTTGAACGTTTCAACTTTTCCATTAGCTCCTCTCTTTCTCTTATAGATCCATTTGCAACCAATAGGCTTAATGCCTTCTGGTAGGTCTACAAGCTCCCAGACAGAATTGGAGTACATAGACTCCATTTCAAGTTTCATGGCTTCTTGCCCTTTTTTTTTTATCAATATCATCCATTGCCATCCTGTATGACAATGGATCATCTTCACTGCCATCGGTGACTGCAACATTTGCTTCTCCATTTTCACGA